AAGTGATTACTCGACAAATCACCGTGTGGATCGGCGAGTGCGACTAACGTCGCCGAACAGACGCGAACTGGATGGTTTTTAATGGCCAAGAAATTTCAAATTTGAAATTCTTCACTTTCCCTCGCTCTTAAACCTCCTAAATTCACACTAAGGTAGTATTTTATTTACTTTAGCCCTTTACCAGCATTTTAGTTTGTTGATTTGTGCTCGAAGTTGGAATACTCTTCCGCCTAGCTTTTCAATCGCATTTCAATTGGCATTAAAGGTTAGTCTTAAAACCTTGAGTTTATTGTTGAAAATTTTGAACTCTTTTGCAATAATAGTATCGTATTGATGTGTGCTGGGCCTCTCTGCTAGGATTAGAATGTTTACATGCCTATTTTTTACTTGAAAACCTTGCCCGTAATGTTTGATTGTCAAATGCCCGTGGCTTTTGTGCTTTTTAATGAGTTGGATTGTGATTGCGTGTGGTTAAATTGATTTGGGTGAAGTCTGAATAGCCCCTGTTTGTTCTAAATGTCGAAAATTGCTCAATGATAGAGTGGGTGACACAACCCTCTCGCATGTATGCTCTGCCATATGGTGATCTGAACTGTAAAGCTGCCAGATCTTTCAGTTTAGTGGGCAACATATTCTGGATTTTGGAGCTGCACTCTTCAGTAAGTGCCACTATTTCATATTCAGTCAACCTCCTCATTTTTGGCACGATCTCTTTCACATACTTAATTTGCATACCTAGGTATACACTACAAAACATCTACCAAAGGCAAATTAATGTGAACTTGCTTTAAGAGAGAAAGAAACTTACCAAAACATTCGTCCTCCATTTTTTTTAAACTTCTGATGAAATGGTGGAGGTGGTTTCACTATTGGCTGCACTCTTTCATCTTGTGCAACAGTCTCACTCTCCTTGACTTCATCCTCTTTGCTAGCAGATTCATCATTTCACTTTTTCGGAGCCAACTTCTCCAACTGCAACGCACTACACGTACCTACCGCATTCACTTGCCTGGGATTTGGATCCGTGTTTCCCGGCAGACCTCCTTGAGGTCGTGAGTTTTGGGCACTAGCAAATTTCCCAAATCTTTCTCCAGGTTCAGGGTTGCTAACTGGTTATTTCTCACATCAGCAACTAGTTGCGCTTGATTAACCATGATCTTCTTTAGAATCTCCTCCATGCTCATGCAATTTTGTTGATTATTAGTTTGCTCTCGTTGGCCCTGTTGTTGCTGACCATGTGCATTCCCCTTGGGTCTATATTGGTTCTGACCTTGAGTATGATTTTGGTTTCCACCCTAGGAAGAATTTGGATGATTTCGCCAACTGGGATTGTAGGAGTTCCCATAATTCTGATGACCTCCTCCACATTGTGCATTACCTACAAAATTTACAGAATCTGGGTTTGCCCCACATACCTGTCCATTGTGGTCTCCTCCTCCACCGATCTCACACCATGTAGGTGGCTATTGTACCGCATTTACCTGAGTCGGCTGTTATCCCAACGATAGTTTGTTGAAGTGTGTATTCATCATGTTTTTCATTGCAACAATTTGTGTAGTTAATGTTGTTACTGCATCTACCTCCAACATTCTAGCAGTCTTTTGTACTATTGGTTTAGCTCTTCCTCCATTCCACTCGGGGTTACCTTGTGAAATCCTGTTCTACAGGGTGAACAACTCAGCATAAGTCTTTTTCAAAGCCTGTCCACCTGTAGCTGAATCAAGTAAAATTTTGGTGTTGGGCTCCAACCCTTCAATGAAGGTGTGGACCAACACCTCGTTAGCCTGATGATGGTGCGGACAACTCAACAACATTGACTTAAACCTATCCCAAGCCCGGTACAAGTTCTCTCCTCCTTTTATCGGAAGCTCGGTATGTCACTTCTTAACTTAGCTATTTTCGCAGATGGGAAAAACCTGATAAGGAACTTCTGAGCAAGATCGTCCCATGAGGTTATGGAATTAGCGGGTTCAAAATTCAACCATCTTTTTGCTTCCCCTAGCAAGGAAAGGGAAATAAAGTGAGCCTCACACAATCTACGTTCACTCCAGTTGGAGTGTAGGTGTCACTGATTTCGAGGAAATTTTGGATGTGAACTTGTGGATCCTCGTGTGATAAACCAGTGAACTGTCCATTTGTGTGCAATAGTTGCACCATACTCTGCTTCCATTCAAATTTTCCACCAGCTTCAGGTTTCTGAATGCATGAAGTAACATTGGTGGTACGTGGGATTACCGCGTCTTTCACTTTCATCTCAGCCATCGCTACAGGTTCTTCTCATTCAACTTTTGCTACAGGAGTTACTGGTTCACTAGCAACAAGAGGGACTGGGTAAGTGAGTCATATTTGCCTTCTCCGGTAATGAACAAATCTTTCCGGTTTAGCTAGAGGCTCCACCAAGTCCTGGTCGTCTTCCAATTTGAAAGTTCAACACAACCTCCAAAATGAATAGCTAAGATCAAGTTGTCAACACTTACTTTCTAACTTCAGAAATTAGACAAATCAAATATTTCTAATTCTAAAGTCCCCGACAGCGGCGCCAAAAACTTGTTGCGTCCAATCACATACACAAGTGTACGTGGTCGTTCAAGTATTAAAATAGCTCTTATTAAGAGCCGGGTATCGTACCCACAAGGACTCAAGATTAAAACAATTCGATCTACCAATACTTTCAATTAGAAACAAGTGCTATCAAGAGTAAAGAAGTGAATTTTTTCATAATCTAAAATCTAATTAAGAGTTTAACTAAGCGATTCAATTCCAAAAGGGTTTGAACAATGATTGGGTAAATTCCAGGGCTACAACTCACTTTAGGATTCATGCATACTATCTTTTTAAATGAACATTTATTAACTATAGAATCAATGATCACAAGGTTAATTATATGATAATGGTCTCCCGACCTCTAATCACCTACGATAAATGACAGCTTAACTGCATTGTTGAGCGGGGATAGGCTGGACCAATTACCGAGCATTACAATTTCTTCCTATCTAATAACCAAGCACGGTCTCTAGGTATATCCCTATCTTAGATACAAATTATCTCCAATTCTTAAGAGAGAATCATGCTCCTCATGCCCCACGTTCTATCCTCTTATCCCTCTCCCGAGTTCAATTCAGACAAGATATTTATTTCAGTGGTGATCAAGCACGAACTACGAAAAATAAGAACATAAGAGTGATTCATATGATAATTAATTTCAATCCATAAAACTTCAATAGAATACAATCATCCAGTAGCCACAACCCTAGAATTAGGGAAATTAGCTACTCATATCAAGAATCTCGATTATGCAATGTTTAAATAGCATAAAGAGATCGAAAATAAAGAGTTTAGAAATGAACCCTAAGAATAGATGAAAAAGCTCTTCAAAGCACAGAAAAAGAATAAATAATAAAATAAAATATGAGTCTATTTATAATTAAGTCTACACGACCAAATCTGGCAGCTGGGGGAGCGATGCAGAGGGCCTTTTAAAATCCAGTTTGTGGAAATCTTTTCTTCTCCGCGATGCGGGCACAATACGGACCGTTCTGTCTCAAATTCTATTTCACGAACAAAATCTAAAATCCCTCTCCTCGACGTGGAGAGGATACAGACCTTCCTTGATCTTTATTTTTTGTTCTTCTTCCTTGCTTCTTTATCACTTGGATCCTTTCTTGCTTCCCAATGCCTATTTCAGTGCTTGTTCCTTCATTTAAGCTCACCTACACAACTAATCATGTTGGTTAGTATAAATGAATTCAAATGACTCGACACTACTATCACTTAATAGAAAATGATTCCGAACATGACCAAAATGCGGGTGTTTTTGGTTCTGAGGCATATAAATACGCCTAAGATCAGCTACCACATCCTTGAGTTTTTTAATTGTCTCAAAAAGATGTGCAACCACATTCTTAATTGAAACAAATATTTTTAAGGTACCTAAAAATTCGTCTAACGTTAAAAGAAAATATTTGTTCCTTGTAAAGAAAATCAAATAAAGTAAAATAAATCTAAACTTCTAGGATACAATATAAAATTTTGGATCATTTTCATAACTTTTTATTTTTTGTTATTCTTAAAGTTGATGTCAAAATTAAGCATAAACTTTCTAATACAATAAAACAATACCGAATTGTTAAAATAAATTTTATTTTTTGATTAATAAAATAAAAATGACAATAATTTTTTGAGCCTAATAATTCCTACTTTATCATTATTGACATCTAAATCAAGACAAGAACATCGTCATGACCCGTTCATTTTTAAGAAATAACAACTAGCAATTAAAAATAAATAAATAAAATTATCACCGATTAAAACTATCTTCATTCATTAAATAGAGATATAAAACTTAATCCAATATCTATTTCAATCATATTATGAATAAAACACAACTATAAGGAAACTAATCACATAATTACATCACCAAAATGGGTTGTGGTGGGACTGCTCCACCCTTAATCTGAGATTTTGGGTTCGAACTTCTGGGTAGGGAGAAAATCTTGTTGAGAAAGCTATCCCCAAATGGGCCCTGCAAAGCGCAATTCGAATTTAGTCAGAGCTCAAATGCAGGCTCCAAACACCGGGTGGGAAACAAAAAAAATCACATAATTACATCAAATTCCATAAATAAATTAAGAAATAAGGTAAAGTTGAGTACCGTAAAAGTTTGACAGAAGCTTGATTAGAACCCCCACAAATCTTTTGTAGGTTATATGTAATAGTCTATGTATTGTGTTTGTATGAAAATTAATGAAAAATATGTGAATGTGTTGGTGAATTTTCGAAAGAAAAAATAAAATAAAATAAAATGGAGTCTTTTTTATTTTTTTCTATTCGTAGGTGTTGTAGTGTCATGACCAAATTTCTTAGGTCATGATGGAACCTACTACATCCCACCAGTAGGTAAGCCTAACCCTTAGCCCAGAGCCATAAGAAACGAGCTACCAAGCCGAAGCCAACAATAAAAAGCGTAAAACTTATATCAAGCGAAGAAAGGATAATCAATAAAAAATAATATATGAACCATCCAAAGAGCTAACATCAATCAATAGTTGAGCATCTAATGAAAAATAAGAGTACACGACTTGCACAAATACAAGGCAAGTACAGGATACGTCTGAATACAATATAAAGACTAACCCTAGACAAAACAGATGGAAACTGATAGCTCCAGACGCCAGAAGCTCACCCTAATCTCTGAAATCCCAAGCTGCTCCGCACGAATCCAACTGCAATCTGCAGGGGGTAGAAGTGTAGTATGAGTACCAAAAACGTTACTCAGCAGACAACGACTAACTAAGCTCAAATATAGCATAAATAACAAGTATTAATGAAAGCATAGCACAAGTAACAAAATAGGAGATACTGAAGTAGCCAAGAAATAAAGAATAGAAATAGGAAATAAGGGGTAAGAAGTCGAGTTAAGAATGTACTTAGATCACAAGCCAACAACCTAATTGCAAGCAACTAAGATGCCTAGTCAACTACCCAGTGTCAGGAGGACCCACAACTACAATTCTAAAGACAAAACCTACTCGGTAACAATAAAGCAATATTAGAGAAAAAATATAGTCAACGAAACCACACTACCAAAGCAAAGAGTACTAACCTAGGATCCAACTAGTCCTCACCTACGGCCTCGGGCCCAACAGTATAATCATAAGCTCAATAAGGATACAACATGCCCACCACTAATCAACAAGATAAGGGATCAATAAGAGATTTCAAATCAGTAAAGAGGGACTAAACCCAAGAGATGACGCCCTACTCCAATCACATTGCTCAAGTCCTAGACTGAGAAAAGATAGGACCAACCCACGACTACCATGAACCACCAAGGTCGCAAGCATCAACGCAAGAAGAGCGATCCAAAACAACTCCTAAAGGGAGCAAATAATAACTGCGAGGTGATACAACACAACCTAAAGCATCAAATGTGCAACCTATTCTAAGGCAACCACGAATCAATCCTAACAAGAATAAGTAAGATCATCTACTCCACAAACGAAGCCACAATCTACACTAAGGATCCCAACACCCATAATAAACGAGGCTCCTACGGAATCAAGAAATGATGGAATAACAAGAGGAAAGCTAAATACCTGACAAATACCATCCAAAATTACATGAAATCTATACTAGGCATTATCTAAGAAGCTCAATCAAGAAAGTAGACTGAAGCCTACCTTAAAGCCGAACACGAGTGGTCCAAATCAAAAACACACAAGCTATCTGCATTCGTAGCACCTCCGAACACCACCAAACTATCAAATTATCAATTACAACGTCATTACGGACGTTTAGACACAAATTTGCAACAATTGGAAATGGACCCAAAATGGAGTCAATATGGGAATGTGGGACCCGCATCGGGAATTCCAAAATTGACTCAATCAAAAGGTTCTAAATAGCCCAAGAAAATTGTGCCTCGAAAATGGGCTAAAACAGTCCATGTAACAAAACACAAGAAAAAATACCATCAAAGGACTTGGGCAGCCCCTTCTAGGAAGAAATTACCTCAAAACTCCGACTTTCACGCTTCCTTGATTAGTCCCACATGTAGCCACACCAATTTCAGACGAAACACAACTTGAATCACCCAAAATAAAGCTTCCTAACTCAAGATATCGATGTTTTAGAATGAGGGTGAAGCTGATATTTTTCTATTTATATATCAGCGATTCTTGTCGCTAAACCACTATATTTAGTCGCTAAAAGACTAAATTCTGGTCGCTAAAGGTCTGCACTTGCAACACCAGATTTTGCTATTTCCAAAGTCTCCGAACGGACCCTCGAAATTCGTTCGGGACCCGATAAAAATAAACCAAATATGCTATCCCAGTATAATCGACATTCCAGACTCAATGGAACCATCGAGACTTCCATCCAAGGTCATTTCGATGAAAAGTCGGTTCAACACCTAAGTACCATTTTCAGCTTAAAACTAAAAGAAGGCTCAAAATGAGACCAGAAGCCTAGGGAACCGCATAAAAGGTCGTTATAGACAAAACTCAACGTTTCAAATCTAACCGCGCCGAAGGAATTCTCATCTAAGCACGTTTACCAAGAATGTTGACCAAAGTGAACCCTTAGCTTAACCTTCAAAGTTAAAATGCCTAACAACACAAACTCACGCCAGAAGTCTCGGGGTACGAATCAACAATGCCCCTAGCCTTAAATGGCACTTCCGGAGTTGATGAAACCTTCAGAATTACATTCTGAGGCTGTCTTCCTGAACTTTTGATAGAAGTCAACTGTTCAAGTTTTAGAGGCTCCAAAATATGAAAACTTGCACAAAATCCAAATGAAAGACCCGATGACCAAACTGTCAGTCCCAACAAGGCATAAATGACTTATGGTCGCTACAGGAAAGCTCTAAACGCTGAAAAGATCGGAAAATGAAGAAAATGACTTGGATTGTCATTACAACATTCACTAATAAAAGGACTTTCGTCCGCGAAAGTAGAAGGATAGGCACAACCTAAAAGCACAACAAGACAAGGATACTGAGTCCGCATGCTCCGCTAGACCCTGAGAGAACCTCTCGGATTGCACAATGCCATCACAGAACTCAGGCTAACAGGAAAATCCTCAAATTCACTTCAAAATTCCAAAAATTCCTCCAAATCCATTTTGGTCTCCAACTCTCACCCAACTGAACCGAACTTGCCTGAAAGCACCTGATTCATTTGAAAAGGCCAACACCACACCAAAACAATAAAATTGAGTAAATGCAGAACCATGGTTGATGCAACCCAACTCCCAAATAAAAAAACTAACCTTATGCTCCATATCTAACATCCTCTAACCACTAAGAGCATTTTGTCGATCCTTAGCTATCCTGAACATCTCCAGCACCAATTGAAACCTTCCTGCAAGCCCACACAACGTCAACCTAAAAAAACCAATAGGCTCCTCCTGAACATCAACAAATGAAAACTGCCCAAATAAGGAACTCAGCCCAAGGCAAAGCCCAAAATCTATTTCTAACCCTCAAACCAACAAACCCATCTCAAACATGACCTTCTAAATCTAACCATGCTAATCCAAAGGATGACTATCCTGTGAATAATAAGGTAGCACTAAGCCCAACTCCAGCTACCTACTCCAACCAAAGGAACTTCTGAAACATCGATACCACGAGCCCAGAACTGCTCCACCACCATAAATCTGTGCCAAACATCCCATCCCAAGGAAAACTAAGTCGGCAGGAGGTGTATCAACATAGTCAACTGGCTAATAGTGGCCCAAGGGTACCAACCCTATCACGAACCACGCAAGCTACCAAGTCGGATAAAAGCAAACCATGCATCCTTAACTAGATCCAACTCATAAATCCCACGAGTAACTATGACCTTATCCTAAAGATGAATCTTTTTAGCAAGTTTCCATTTCCCAACTAGGATAAGGCCTGAAATAACCAATAAACACCATTATTCCGACTCTAAATCATACACCGGCCTCGAGGGATATCACACAACACTAAAGAAACAACACAACATCTAGTTTAGGCACAACAAAGGATCACACCTCCAATTTCCAACTGTCCATAACCAACCTCTAAGACCACAAAAAACAAATGAATCCAAAAGGAGTTGAACAAGCGGAAACACAACTCCACAATCGAGGAAATACTAAAACAAATGGAGAAAGTAACCAAACAAGACCACCACAACTAAGGAAAGCTAACTACTTGTGACGACCCTCAAAATAAAGTAGGATGAAGTAGAGCCTCACATGGGTTTTATGCATTAATAACCTGTTAAAATAATGAAGAATAGCCTTTTTAGTCAGTTTTAAAGAGTTTAGAAGTCAAACGTTAAGGGACGACCAAGACGTTTGGAAACAAGTCCTTTACGTGTTGGTGTGTTCTAGTATGTTGTTCATGTTTTTATGTGTTGTTTGGAGTCTAAAATCAGTGGAGGTGACCCTAGTGTCTTAATAAATATTTTTAGGGTCAAAATGTTCGGATATGATTCCCCGGGGGCCACCCTAAGGGTCTCTGAGGAGGACCCCAACCTTGGCCAAGCAAGCTGCCAAGGCAGCTTGAAGTTGTGCATGGAGGGAGTGGCTCCGCGTCGCAGACCTGCTCCACTAAGGGCCAAAAAGTTTGGTCCGCATCGCGGACATGTCGCGGACTCTACTGTCTCGGATTTAATTTATGAAAAACTTGCGGGAACACCTCCGCGTTGCGAACTTGTTTCCCGATGAAATCTGCGAAAATAAAGCTTAGGTTTGACTTGTTTAAAAGGGTCCAACTAAGTGAGGGGTTGTTTAGGTACTTTGGGGAATTATTATAAACGGTTATTCTACCTATTTTAGGGGTATTTTTAAAGTTGGTTAAAACCCCCTAAACCTAAAATTAGACCCCATTCTTCAAATTGTCCCTTCCCTCTCAAAAATAGATTCTCTAAAAAAACTCCATTGAAGACCTTGATGAAGCTCAAGCTAGAAGATAGGTTGTCAACTGATTTTTCTTCAATTTCATGGGTCTTCAATGATTAAGTTATGGTGACTCTTGATCCTTGAATAACCTCTCATTCAAGGAGTTCTATCAAAGATTTTCAAAAGCGACTCAAACACCAAAATTCCAATTTTCAATCTAAACATGGGTTCCTTGTCAAACGATTTTCTAAGTCATTATATTGATGAATTAATATGGAATTAATGTGTTTAAGACAATTTTCAAAGGAATTCTTGAAGAACCCATGATCCCCAAATCCTCAAAAATGGGCCTATGATGTGGGTCTTTGTGAATATGATCTCTATTGGTGAAGTTATGTTTAGATTAGATTGTATTGATGTTTCCTATGATTATATATACTTATTCATGTTGAATTTTTGGTATATTGATGAGTTGAGAATTATGGCCTTATGAGCTAAGTTATGGGTTGATCCCTTTGTTTATGGAATTGTACTTAGATTATGTTTATGATATTGAAATACATTGTTGATTCCTATTTCTATCTATGTCAATTGATTATGAATTGTTGAGGATTGATCCATGGTGATCATGGATTGGAGAATTGGTAAGTTGACCTAACTTCTAGCCTATAGTATGAGAATTGATGTTGTGAGGTTTGATCCACTTATGGTGGAGGTGTTTACTTATTTTCTATCTTTACATGTTGAGATCATGGCCTTGAAGGCAATAGATGTGAAGTGAATTGATGATTATGATGCATATGTTTATGAAGTTATGCTATGAAGGTTATGTATGAAATCCTCAATGCTAG